AGCATCGCCCGATGGCGTGGGGCTGTGCAGCACAGACGGGCAGCTCTGAGTCTCAGGTCTGTACCTGAAACCAGAACAAGGGAGATGCTCTTGAGGTGGGGAGCAGAGGCAGGTGGGGGTTCCTGTGTTGTCTGCAGGTGCAACCATGTCCTGGTACCCCAGGAAAGCATCAAGCAGGAATCCCACAGGGTCACATGGACTCTGTGACTTTGTGGTGTCAGTGGGGTGCAGCACCAGCAGGCTGTTTCCCTTATTTAAGAGGGGAAAAGAGGATAGGCAGGATGAGGAGAGGGGCAGACAAGATGCCTACATTTACCTCTTGCTAAACAGCAAAGATACTGTCCAGAGAGCCAAAGCTCCCACCATTCATCCCAGGGATCAGTCATGCTGGGATGTCCTTGGTCAGGCTCCCACCTTGACCCAACACCAGGCACCCCTATTTGGAAATGGGAGACTGGGTTGTGTCCTTCCCATTTCACTTCTGCAGTAGGGAACTCTGGGTGCTTGGAGAACTCCTTGGATGGATTTGCTGTTTACTGACAATCATTCCAAAGTTTTCCAATAGCCTGTGAGCTGACGCCCCAAGCCCCTAGGGTCTGCAGGGAGTGGAGCCTCCCTGGTCATGCTGGTAAGCAGAGTTGATTTCCCTTCTGGCTTGCTGCCAGCAATGCAATGGGATTTTCCTACCAAGACCCCTTTGCAGATTCCAAAATGACATTGGGCATGAGAGGCATGGAGTTGTGGCAGCAGGGACCATGTGGCCAAGCTCTGGCCCTGACTCAAACTTTCCCAGTAGAAGTTTTTTGTCCAGTTGGTTGGTCTTTTATTCCGGGCATAGTTGTGGCACTGAGGTGAAGGTTTTCCCCTGCTGTGACAACAGGGCAGGACAGAGCTGCCTCCTAGGGTGAACCCCAGCTCCTTGGGAGCCTTTACATCCTTAGTCATGGCACGTGCCCTGGCACATCCCAGCTAAACCTGCCACCTGCTCCCTCAGCCAGAGCTTCCCTTGGATGCTGTAAGTGAGGTCTGGACTTTCAGTGCATGTCCCCGGGGACAGTGATGTAATTTGGAAGCGGTGCCGTCCTCTCCAGCAGCACTGGTTGGAGCAGCACACCTGCCTGCATCCCTGTGCACTGTGGCTGAGCTGTCCCCCTGGTCACACACCCTGTCCCCAACGAGGGTTTCGTGCTGCTGCCCTGAGCTCCGCTCCCCCCGTGAGCTCCGACAGGCTCCACCTGAGCTGCCTGGGGAAGCACGTGCCGGGCAAAAGCAGGGCAGCCCTGGCCAGGGCTGGAGCACCGGCGGCTGCTGCTGCTCTCCCGGCTGCCTTTCCCAGATGGCATCAGCTGCCGGGAGAAGTGGGTCATGCGTGGCAGCGCCGCCGGGTGAGCACGGGCAGCGGCAGCCACTTCCCAAGACATGATTCAGCAGCTCCAGAGGTCGGGGCTGGGGAGGGGGCAGTGGGCAGACACTGGTGGGGGTTGGTGGGAGGTGATCTGACCGGCAGATTTTGGGTGGGCACCCACACGACGTGCTGGGGGCTGAGCGCTGCCCAGTCAGCCTCCCTGCTTCACCAGTGCTGGGCCGGGGTTCCTCCCCATCTTGCTGGGGAAACTGAGGCAGAAAGGGATGTGCACAGGTGTGGTCAGGGAGAGGGGAGGGGGATGCACGGCTGTGGTGCCCCATTTGGTGCAACCCCCACGTGCAGAGCAGTGAAAGCATGTAAATCTGTCAGCACTCCTGTTCTTGGTGTTGTGACCAGGGAGTTGACTGTATCTGGTGGCAGAGGGTCTCTCTCCATGCTTTCCTGCTCCATCCCCTCTCCATCCCTTCAGAGCTGCTTAGGGCAAGGAATTACTTTTCTGGACATAAAAAGTTGACATTAATCTGGGGTCTGATCCTGTGCCCCGAGAGTGGAGGCAGGGAGGCAGCAATGCCCCTGCAAAAGGCAGGGCTGCAGTGCTGGCATCCTGCAGAAACCCAGCCCAGCTCCCTCTGCCTCGACCAGCATCCCACCCCTCCACCCCCAGCCCTTCCACGCTTTGCCAATGGGGAAACTGAGGCTCAGAGCTGGGCATCGTGTTCCCATCCCCCGTGGCTGCTGTTAGTGCTTGAAGCCACAGCAAACCCCTGGGGTCCTGCCCCCAGCATGGTGGGTCCCTGATCTCACAGGGCTCTGGGGTCCTGGGGGACACAAACACAAATAATGGGGAATACGGCTGAGCAGCCACCGGATCCTGGGAATCTGCGCTCTGTGGTTAAAACTATGTCGCTAATTGACAATTTCCTCAGCGGGGAGCCTCCAGCCGGAGGAAGCACAGTCTCCTTGCCTCGCTCATCTTCCTCCCTGGGAGCTCAGGGGCCTCTGCAGCTTCTTCTCACAGCTGCCTTAACCCTTGCTGGAGCTGGAGCTGGCTCTGGAGCTGCAGCTGGAGCCTGGAGCTGCTCATCCAGGGCCATGTGTACTCGCTGGGTCACTCCCAAGTGGGCATGCTGGCTGGCACAGATGGGAGCCCTTGGCTGCAGCTCGCCCATAGCCTCCCCATGTCCCCAGGCTCGTTGCTGTACCTCAGTTTCCCCATCTGTAATTTAGGAATCAGTCCTTCTTGAACCCCCCTTGCTCCAGAGCTCACAGTGGGGAGCCCAAGTGTGCCAGGGGAGCAGGGCTGCCCTCAGCCCCTGTGGCACCTGCATTAGCCCTCGCTGTGCAATGCAGGAGCCCCCCCAGCACGTGGCCATCACCCCCCAAGGTCGCCCTTTTCCCTCCCAATGATTGATTGCCAGTAACCCCACATTCTGAGACTGGGCTGGGGGATGCACACACCCAGGTGGCTCAGCCCTCCGTGGCACACAGAGGCTGGGAGCACCTGTGGGGGAGCACCAGTGAGGGATTGGCACCCTCAGTCCTTTGCAGACCCTGACTAAGCCCAGGACTCCAGGGCTAAAACCGCAGCCTGTCCTGACCACCACACGCACACTCGCTCCCACACCCACACACACGTACCACGGTCACAGATGTGGGACCACAAAACTTTATGGATCCCATCGGGGGATAAAACCCAGGAATAGTTTCTATTAGATCCCAGGAAAATCTGTACCAAGTGTTAACGCTGCACCAAGAGCAGGCGACGCAACCTGCCACAGCCACCACAGGCTGTGCCACCTCCACAGGGCTTCTCTGTCACTGTTCCCTGCATTTCCACTCCAGACCCATCAGCTTTCTGAATTTCCAACGTTGTTACCCTCTCCATCACTTCTGACGTGCTCTTTCCCCCTCAGGAGGTGCAGGAGGGAAAGCAAAAGGTTTGTCAGTGCAGGATCAGGCCCCTGGATTTCGACAGTCTGGGTCTGCTTAGCCTGAGCAAACACACCTGGATTCAGACAGTTTGCAAAGAGCTTTGAAATATGAAAGCAGTCCTTGGATGCCAGACATTATTGGAAGTTTTAGGTTAAAATAGGAAAAAGTCTGAGTAATGGGTCTGGCAATGCAGAAAACTTTTTTTTTTTTTTAGCTGAATCTAAAAAATATGGGTTGAATCCACGCAAAAATGGCATTTAAAGAAATGATTTTGCAGCTACCCCCAAAGCCAACATGTGTTTTGTGGAGGCGTCTATAGGGCTCCATTCCTGGCTGTTGAAGGGCACATTTCAGAGCAGAGCAGCTCAGAGAGATGCAATATCTCGCTTTGAAAAGGGCCCAGTGAAAGGACCAGCAGCAATGTCCCTGTCCCATGGCTTGTCCCATGCTCACAAGTCATTGTGGTCAAGCTGGGGAGATGTTTTTCCAGAGACAGGGAGAGCCACAAAGCAGCAGGACACTGCTCTGCTGACAAGGACATGCATGAGGAACATTTCCCAACCCAACAGCCTTTCCATGAGTGCTGAAGGGGTGAGTGTGGGTTTAATAAGGTCAGTCTTGAAACAGCCCCTTTTCCTGTGACTGTGTCATCTCTCTGATCGCAGCCCTTTCACCTGCCTCACCTTGGGGAGATCCCTGTGGCACATCCTGCCCCAGACACAGCCTGAAGGCTGTCAGCAGCTCTCAGGGTGACCCAAGAAGAGCCTTTCCCGTGTCCCCTGTCCCAGGGCTGCCCTTGCATTGCTTGTGAACCACACGGGGGTGGAAAGATCCCACCTGACCCGCCGAGAGCTGCGAGGACGTCCCTGTCCAAGGGAAGCAAAGGCACGGGGGACGAGCGGTTTCCCCGGACAGGTTTCCCTGTCTGTGGCTAAGGACATGCTGGATGCGTTGGTACCAGCCCTGACAATCCCTCCTCCGGAGCAGGCGGCGAGGGCCAAGTCTCGGCTCTGCCAGCCCGCTCCGGTAATGAGGCTGCAGCAGCAGCGGAGCGGGGCTGCACCCGGACGCGGCTGGGCGAGCGCCCGCCTGCGGAGTTTCAGGGCTCATTAAAGGCAGGGAAATGTCAGGACAGCCCTCGGCAGGCTGGCAGGCGCTGAGCGCGGCTGGGGAACGCGGAGTGCCGGCTGGCTGGCGATGCTGCTGGAGCACGGCGCCGGGGGCGAGCGCTGAGCCGGGGCTGCTGGAAATCCCCGTGGGAGCATCGGATGGTAGACGTGTGGTGGTGGACACCGGCAAAACACAGGTTCCCGGTTTTGCTGGACGGATAGTGGGGCCCAGCACACAAACCACATCCTTGTGAGTTTTGTCACTCCCCTCTCTACCTGGCCAGGGGGTTTCTTCCAGCTCCAAACCCCTCTGCAGTCCCTGGGGGTCAGGGACTTGCAGCCCAGCTCCAGAAAGCTCCATCCTCACTGTGTGTTTGCCTGGGAGGCAAGAATCTTGTTTTCACATCATTTCCTGACACCCATAGACCCTGCTGGGCCTCGTAGGGCTGTAGGAAGGATGCTGGGTGCAGGGGGAGGTGCTGGTGGTGGGGTAGAGGAGCCTGATGTGTTCCATCCTGGTGTGTTGCTTGCATCCAGTGGGCAGGGACAATGGTTTAGCAGTGGAGAGGGACAGGGACACAAATGTAGAGGGGCTGAGGAGGATGCTGTGCATGAAAGCACTGAGCAACAGGGATTGCAAGGGAAGTAGGAAGGCAGAGGTGTGTGGGAAAGCCACTTTGGAGCTATTAATTCATTTACTGATGAAAGCTGTCCTTACCCCTGCCCTAAAGGTTTGTCCATGCAGCCAAGAAGCTTTGGGCTGAATCTACATAAGTGGTAGGGGAAGACAGCAGCCATGAGGACTTGGAGGTGTGAGTTGTGCACACAAGTGAGCAGGACATGCCCCTGGGGGTTGATAGCTCATGTCCAAATGTATTTGATGACATCTTTGCTGCTGGGTCCACTCCCAGCCTCCCTGGGGTGTCCTGGTCCCTCTGCCCTTGGGCAGGGGGGCATTACAGCCTCTGAGCACAGCTCAGTGTTGTGCTGGATTCTGCTCCCAAGGCTGTGCAGCGGGATGTGGGCTTCACCTGGAGGAAGGCCAGCTACAGCTCTTCTCCCTCAGCCGCAGAAGAAGTTGAATTTAGCATCAGTGTGTGGATGGGGGGCTTGGCCCTTTTCCCTCCAGCCCTCCTGTGCCAGAGCTGGAGACGTTGCCCACCACCACCTCCACCTGTCTATGAGCTTTCAGAGAGAGGACACAGGAGCAAGCAGGCACCACCCTGTTCTCACTCCTATTTGCTTCCCCTTTTTCTGTCTTGCTGGGCTGTGGCACTGACACGTCTGAGACCTTTCTCACCTTAGGCTGGGAGCTGCAAACGCTGGGAGCACCCTTGCCCCAGCCTGAAGATGGATGATAGACTACAGGTGGCTGGGAGGAGCAGGGGGAACGTGCAGGCGAAGCGGTGAGACAGCCCTCGGCATAATAAATAGCAGCATCACACACCACCTGCCTACCCATTATCAGCTGCTTTGTAGGCACCCGAGCAGAGGGAGAGGTTTGAAAAGGGACGGGGAGAGGCTCCAGGCTGCCTTAGAGCTTCTCCCACGTAGAGGGACGAGGCGAGAGAAAACATGAAAGCATCGATAGGTTGAGTCACCAACCCTGGAGGGATTTAAAAGATATGTGGCTGTGGCACCTGGGGACGTGTTTTGGTGGTGGGCTCGGCAGTGCTGGGTTGAGAGTTGGGCTCGGTGATCTTAAAGGCCTCTTCCAACCTAAATGATTCTATGGAAATCTAGAAAAAAACAGTCTCCAAGTGCTGGCTGGGGGTTCAGCTGAAGCCTCTCAGCAGCTCTGAGGGCTCAGTAGCATTTTCCCCTCTCAGTTTACAAACAGGGTAAGTGAAGCATTAAGGGTGTAGGTGCTTGGGGGGACTGAGTGAATAGCACCCATGTATCCTCTGTCTAGCTGGGGAGGGAAAGAGGTGGCTGGGCTTGGAGATTTCCTCTGTGCAGGGTTTGTTCTTCATGGTCTGGGGAGAGGGAGGAAGATGGGGGAGATGGGAGGAGAAGTGGCATCTCCTCTCTAACAGAAAACAGGTTTCCAGTAACTGCAGTGGGTTTGCACCTTAATTATTTCCTTTGGCTCTGCTACTGGGAATGATTGTGTCCTTAAAGTTGTTAAAAGGGCAAAAGAGAGAGGAAAAGCAATCCTGACATCCTGTCCACTGGGTCCAGATGTAGCTCACAGAGTACAAATTAGCGGGTGCAGAATGGAATCGCTTAAAAAGAAATTTAATGAGATCGGTATGCAGGCATCTGGTTCCTATCAATCATCATTTTGTGTGATATGCAATGGTAAATATCATCTTTTTAATGACTCTGATGAAGAAAAAGAGCCCAAACCACACACACACATGCATAATGATCCAACAAAATTGCAGAGCCTGCGATGTTTGAACTCTCAAAATGTTCTGTAGATGGAAAAACCCCAACTGACACCTCTTCTAACTCGCCATTGTTTGAGTTATTTTATTTCTTACTTTTTTTTTCCCTTCCTTTCCTCTAGTTATATTTAACCTTTGTGTTAAATTAATCTTCTCTGTTTATTAACAACTAACCCTGACTGAGCCTCCCTCCCTCTTCTTCGTGCTTCGACAGCTCAAACATTTGCCCGAGGCCAGAGGTTCTTGCCTCAGGCGCCTGCTCCTCTCCAAGGAGAGGTGGCTGCAGGTCTGGCCGGCCATGGATTTGCTTTTCAACTTGAAGGAAAGGTGGCTTGGGCTCCTCTGTTTCAGTTCTCCACCAAAGACAGCCAGCAGACCCAGGATGGAGCACATGAGCTGAGGGTTTGCTGGTTTTACATCCTCCAGCACCAGTGCCTTCCTGATGGCAGGTCCCTTGGGAAAGCTGCTGGGCTCAGCTCCCATGGGGGCATCACCTTGAGGTCTGTGAAGTGGGGAAAGGTTGGAAACCAAATATTTGCATCCTTCACTGGCCTGGTCTCACCCAGGTTGGGGACTTTTGGGGGTTTAATCAATCTTTGCCTCTGGCGTATCTGGCCAAAAGTGGGGAGAGGTGGAGGTGGTGATCCCAGTGGCTCCTTTTGGTTCTTCCCTTGGCAGGGACATGCTGAGATTCCTGGTAATGCAGGGGTCAGTCCCCCCCTTGCTGTTCCCCTTCTGCTGAAAGAGCCTGGCTGAGCATCTCTGTGGTGACAGGAGCTGGAGACAGCCAGGCCTGGGAATGATTTCTCCCAGCAGGGACCAGATGTGTCAGGAGGAGCTTTGCTAGGGGCAGGAGGCTGCACAAAAACAAGGGGAGTTTTGTCATGGGTCCCTTCTGAGTTTTAAAAGCAACACCTTGTCTCCCCCTTCCTTCCACCTTCCTTCCTCCCCCCCTCCTTTCCACCACACACTCTTCACACCTCCAATACCTATTTTGGGCCATCTGATGAATCCCAGATGCCTTGGGAAGCAACAGAAGCGGTGGTGCACTCCAGGCACTGCTTCACTCTGCTTCCTTGGCAATGCCCCCAAGCTTTCACAAGCCAAGGGAGCGGGGGAAGGAAGGGAGGGGGGGAAAAAGGAGGATAGCAGAGTGGTAAGGAGCCTGGTACTCAATATTGCGATTATTCATGGAGTGGTGAGTGGGGAAGAGGATCCCACCTGGTTCTGGAGGGAAGTAGTGATGGTTGGAAAAAGCGGTGGGATGGGTTCAGGTTCACATGGTTTGGGATGGTGCTTAGGAAGGGGGCTAGAGAGGGAGTCTGTCTGGACCCAGGCATGATGGGGGACAGCTTGGGAGCCCTCTGCCACTTTCTGAGCATCCTCCTCTGGTCCAGGAGGCAGGGAGAGCCCAGTAGGAGGGAGAGAGCTGGGTGAAAGCAGGAAGCAAACACTGACGTGGTTTTCTTTTGCATAAATTGGGTGGAAGGGGGTGGTTAATGTGACTCAAGTGTCAGCCCCAGCTGTCGAGAGCGACCAGCTGCACTGCTGGCATGGGTGGTGTTGGCATCCCTGCACCCTGTCACCTTGTCCCTTTCAGCCTCCAGCCCTCCACCTTCCAGGGGAGCACATCAGCTGCAACCACACCTTATCTTCTTTCAGCTGCATTTGGGTGGGGTTGATTTAATCTTGTAGAAAAGAGAGTCCCCAGTCCCCCTCAGAGGGGCTGGTTTGGGGTGTCCTTGTGCTGGGGGAAATGTCTCCTGGCACAGATAAGCAACGATGTGAGCTCAGGGCTGAGATGCAGCAGGAGACTGATCTGTGAAAGCTGAGGATAACCTGAGTAGGGGGAAACTGTTTGGGGTGGCAATACAGGAATAAAGCCCATGGGGCCACGAAGCTGCTGTGAGACTGAGGAAGGGGGGCAGGGAGAGGCTGGCTGAGATAAAGAGAGGTTTTCATGCTCATCTGCAGCTCTCTGAGGCATGTTTTGATGTATGTGGGCATGAATACAGCATCTGGCACCTGGGTGGAATCTCTGGGCATCAAGAACTCAGTCTTGCCTCTGCTTTGTAGATGAATACCCAGCTGTGATGCCCATGTAGCAGATGGGGAAGGTTTGGGAGAAAGGCACCAACCTGCTGGTTTTCAGGCAGCTGAATTCTGGGGAATTCAGCAGGAAAACCAGCCCTGGCTGTGTCAGATGCAGGAGGTGGCTCCACCGCTCCGTGCTTTGCTTTAACCCCTCAGCCTGCTCCTGCCCTCCTGATGGTGTTTCGTGTCGATTCTTTCTTGAAGGTTTTTTGTGAACTTCCCCTCGGCCAAGCAGTACTTCAGCCAGTTCAAGCACATGGAGGACCCCCTGGAGATGGAGAGGAGCTTGCAGCTGCGTAAGCACGCCCGGCGGGTCATGGGGGCCATCAACACTGTGGTGGAGAACCTCAATGACTCCGAAAAGGTCTCCTCCGTCCTGGCCCTGGTGGGCAAAGCCCATGCCCTCAAGCACAAAGTGGAGCCCATCTACTTTAAGGTAAAGGGTTGGACCAAAGTAATCTTTGGGGTGCTTTAGAAATTAGGAAGAGGGCAGGAGAGAGGGAGCTGTGGGGAGCTGGTGCTGCCTGTCCTTGCCTGGAGGAGCTTGGCTGGATGTGGGGGTTGCTCCTCATATAGCTGTGACACTGTCCCATGCAGACCACCCTTCCCACACACAGTCTCTGGAGCATCCAATACCTTCCCCTGCCCAGGGAATCCTGCCTACCTGTGTCCTGCTTGCAGCCCTACCAGCGTGTTCGTGGCTGTATGTCCCTTCTTTTAGAAATCAAGCATTATAGTCAGGACTAAGTAATCTGAGGTGCCCAAACTGGGGCACCCCACCATGCCTTGGTCTCTGGTTACCTGCCCTGTCTGTTCCCAAGAGTGTCAACAGACCTTCAGGACATCCGTCTGTCCCACAGAAGGTCTCATTCCCAGAAATCAGCAGGAGGATTCAATGGCTTTCCCTAGGAAAAAGCAAAATGTGCTGTTAGCTTCTCCCTACAGAGTTATTAACTCCTTGCTGTCCTCCTCCTTCCAGAAACTCACTGGTGTCCTGCTGGAGGTCATTGCTGAGGAATATCCCAACGACTTCACCCCAGAGGCTCACGGTGCCTGGACCAAGATGAAGACCCTCATCTACACCCACGTGACGGCGGCGTACAAGGAGGTGGGCTGGGCTCAGTACCCCACTGCCACCCTGTGAGCGGCCAGCGGGGCCAGGCGAGGGGCAGGGAGGGCTTCACTCACCCCAGGACTTCACTCTGGTCTCTTCTCAAGATCTTTGCTCAGTCTGGGGAGCCTGGTAGGGCCAGCTCTGTCAGCTGCCAAGTCACAATTTGATCTCCATGGGGTTTAAAAACAAAAGAAATAAGCCAAAAAAACCTATAGAACCACGAAGGGTGTGGGTGGGTCGGGGTGAAGCAGTTGCAGGGGACGCTGGAAGGGGATGCAGAGGGTGAGGGGAGAGCACTGGTTGTTGGCTCCATCTTACTGTCCTGGCCTGTCCACCACCACCTCCCAAATCCTGCACCTCACTTGCGCCATCTCAAAGTCCCGTGCACAAGCGCTGCCGCCCCGTTCGATGATGAACAACACAACCCTCATTTTCCATGCAAAGCCCCTGGGTTAGGCCCGGCTTTGGGGGGCACAGTGCTTATGGAGACGTCCAGCTGCCCAGCTGGCACCGAAAACGCTTTGCTTTGCACTTTGTGTGTCCCCTGGCAGGGTGGCAGAGCTGACAGCTGTGCCCACAGCGCTCTCGGTGCCCATCGCCCTGCACTCTGGGCTGGCTGCAGTCACCCTGCACTCTGGGCTGGCTGCAGCTGTCACCTCTCCCATCACCCACAGTCCCTCTCCTTGGCTGGCTGCTGCAAACCCTCCTGGGGCTGGAGGGAGTGAGGGGGAGGGAGAGATGTGCTCCTGCAGCGTGAGAGAGTGGGGAAGGAGGGGGATGCCTTTGGGCTGCCTCCCCTCGTGGCTCGGAGCATGGTGTGTAGGTGGGATCCCTGTGTCATATGTAGGGAGCTGGTGAGTCCACCCACTGCCCTTCAGCTCCCTGAGGATGAGCTTGGGTGGCACATGTCGTGCCATTGCCCTGGGAGCTGGTGTGTGTAGGTCTGTCTGTCCAGCTCTGCCCTGCACGGTGAGAAGGGGGGTTTGGGCTGTGACCAGGAGGGGAAAGGTGGTATGGACACAGCAGGAGGGATTTCTAGGTGTGAAGAAAGGTCCCTTCTCTGTTAAAATTAATAAATAACTTGTTGTATATTTACATATTCCTGCCCTCGTGGTGAAACTGGGTTCCTTCAAATAAAGTGCCTGGTAGAACTCAGCCCATGCAGGAGCTGAGTCCCCCGCCCGGGGATGGCAGTGCTCCTGTCTGTGCCTGACAAAGGCTTCTCCCCCACCCCCCAAAAAGTGGTTGCAGGGCTCGCAGCACTCATCCTGCCTCCAACACCAATTCCTGCTGGGCCCCCGGGTGAGTCTGCTTGGTTTGTGCCTCAGTTTCCCCTGCAGTTACAGGAAAAGGGAGGAGGAGCAGCCCCGTTGCCTCCTGCCCACGAGTGGTTGGATTTATAGGATTTCTGGGAACTGATTGGCAAAGGGTTGAGGATGTGTCAGATGTGCTGGGAAGCTTTGGAATCCTTGTCATCCAGACCTAAAGGTCTCTTATTTTTAGAGCTCTAGCACTAAGGACAATGTTATCTGTTGAAGTGGAAGGGGGTTCCCTTCCAAGATTTCCTCTGGCCTCACTCCACTACTTGTCCTGGAGAGCTGGCAGCTTCCTGAGAGAGACCAGCTCCTCTCCTGGATGCCAGCTGGATAGGCAGAGAGCCCATGGTTCCTACTGGGATCCCCGTGGCCACCCTGGGGACATCCCCCTGCCGTGGGGACACGGACCCCAGCCCTGCCCTTTCCTTTGTGCCAAGGTGTCAGCACTGCCTGTGGCTGGGGAGCAACCCCAGGACTGCTGCTCAGAGCAGCAGGGCAGGTGTGTCTGGGTGAATGTGCCCCTCCTTGGAGGGCTCTGTTGGATGCAGCCAGGAGTTTGTGCCATCACCCAGTGCCCCAGCTCTGGGCAAAGTGGATTTGGAGAAGGCTCTAAACCTCTTGGCTGCATTCCCCAGTGTTCCCTTGCCTTCCTGCAGAGCCACAGGAGCAGAGTTAGTCCCAGAATAGCTCCAGGGCTTCGATAATGTCATTACAGCCAATCTGGCCTTGCAGTTCTTTCCTTCCTACATCCCACAGTAAAACTCATGGAGCAATGGCACCTGGAGTGATGGCACATCGTGGGTGTCCATTGGGTGGAAGTAATGGCTCAGGGCACAGCAGTCCGTGGCATGGCAGGGTGTGAGGTCAAGGGGGTTGAAAAAGGAAGGCATGGGGTGACAGGTGATGCTGCCTTTGCTCGTGAGGGGGCTGTCATTTAGAGCCAACACCCCCAAAATTCAGCCCGCCAGCCTGCACTGGTGAAGGTGCCAGCAGCTGCTGCCTCTGGCTCCCATCAGAGTGTCAAAGCCACTGCTCATCCCTCATGTCAGTGAAGGCATCCTTCAAGCAGCTGCTGCTGCCCAGGTCAGGAATGGATGGGAAAAGCCCGTTCAGCATTGACTTTGCTCCAGTGCAGGACTGGAGAGCAATTGCTTGGACAAGACTGTTAGATTATATTTGTGTGTGTGCACATCAGAGGACTCTCACGAGCACAGCTTCCCTGGTTCCTGCCAAAACCTTGAGGCCAGCAGCACATGTTTTTGATGAGTTCATGTACTCCCTGTGCTCTGCGGATGCTGGGCCAGGGGTGTTTCTGTAGAGGGATGTTTCATCTTCAGACAAAATTTGCACATTAACCTTCAAGGTTAATATCGTCCAGGTGGGAATTTTATTTTTGCAGTGCAAGCCCTTCCCTTCCCACGACCAAAACTGGGCTCCCAGTCCACAGGGAAGCCACTTTGGGGTGGCTGGAAAGTCCCCACGTTTGTACCTGACCCACCCGAGTGCCTTGGTTTTGGGGGAGCAGCAGGGAGGTCCTCCCACTTGGTTTCTCCTTTCTTTTTTTACATCTCCAGGAAAAAAACCTGACCCACGGCCTCGTGTGCCCACGCATGTGTGTGCTGGGCTTGAGGGTTTTTTCCAGGAACGTTTTCCTAAAGCAAATCCAGATGTGTGCAGCTGCTGTCCCTCGAGGAGCGCCCTCCCCCCATCAGCCAAATTGCAGGCCAGTCCAATAGATGCAAACAAAAACATGTTTATTTTTACCAGTTTCGTAGGAAGTAACATGAAGCAGGAGGGCAGCCAGGGCAAAGCTCCGGGGGGGAGGAGATGGAGATAAAGCGAACGCCCCCTCTTTGCCGCCCGCAGCAGAGGAGGTATTGCTTAAACCGGGGAAAATTCTCATCTGGGGAGAGATGAAAATGAACAGAAAAAGGAAAAAAAAAACCAAAACATTCCAGAGTGACAGGGCTGATAAATGCCGAGTGGAAGAGCAGAAAGGGAGGCTGGGTCCTGGCTCTGTGCGTGGCTCTCCAGCACACACACACACACACAGGCACAGTCGTTCCCTGTTACTGCCAGCCCCATCCACCCCCCATCCCTGAACCCTCCACAGCTGACTGGGGACCCCCTTATCCCTCCTTTCCTTCAGGTCTTACTCTCTGGGGCTTGATGTTTCACCTTCTGGCACTCTTAGGCTGAGCTCAGGGCACTTCAGGTTCAGTTTTGCTCTCCTTGGTGGTGGCAGGTAGGGACCAACTTGCAAAGTCCTTCCCCCAGAATTCACAGGTAAGAAGTTGGGGCTCAGGGCATGATGCCAGCACATGTTGCTCTCTCTCCTGCCCTGGGGAGGATCCCTGTGTCCCCCCAGCCCTGTCCAACCCCTGGCTCAGCCAGCACATTGGCATTGTCATTGTCATCAGGGCTGGGCTTGGACCTGTGATTGGGATGGGAAAACCTTTGTGCCCCCTGCCAGAGGCAGATGGATGCTGAGTGAGGGGAGATTTGGTGTCCCTGGGGCAGGTTTTCCCCCCCAAGCACCTTGTCCTAGCTCTCTTTGGGGGCACCCACTCATATCAACCAACTTTTGTCGCCCCACCCCAAGTTCAATGTTTGGTCAGAGGGAGTTGAGCGCTGGAGGGAATAGGAAGTGTTGGGTTGGAATGGGGCATAGATCCTGTCCACCCTATCCACTCCCTCCCCGTGGCCAACATTCATGGCAGGGTTAGCTCCACAGGCACCTGAACAGCTGAAGAGACACCCCAGCAACACCACAACCCTTAGGGACCTTGTGCCACCACCCTCATCTTTTCTTGTGGTGAGACAAATCCCCGAGGCAGCTGAGCCACGGGCTCTCCCACGGGAGTCCTCTTGCATCCCTGCCACTTCGCTCCACTTTGTCCCAGTAAAGGGGATCCCAGTGTCTCCCCACTCTGTGGGGGGTGCCCAGTGACTTCAGTGGGGACCAGATTTTGTCTGGCTGGACTCTGGTGCCAGAGCTCAGCCTTCCCTGCCCCTTGCCGTGGGGAAGCTGCCCTGGTGCAGAGATGTCGGTGCGAGGGCTGCTTGGGTCCAGCACCAGTGAAACCAGACAGATGGATGGGAGGGAAACCCATGTGCTAACCTTGGACCAACTTAGGGAAAGGGAGGGATAAAACTACCCGCCTGGGTCTGACCTCTCCAACAGGCTGCGGCGCTAATTATTTTCCATAGCTGAAGTTGTCTCTAATTGTTAGTATGTCTGAACCAGTCCCAGCGTGACCCACAGACATGAGCTGGCGTGGTCTGATGTAACTCCGTGTCTTTCCTGTTCCTGCTGCAGATACTGTTCCTGTTCGTGTTTCTCGGCGCTTCCGTGCTGGTTTTATACTTGGCCGTTCCGTGTACGATGGGTGTAACTTGTTTTTCTTTTTGTAGGTTTTTAGTATGTTTGTAACCGGACAAAATGGTGTTATTAAACTGAAACTTGTATCTTCAGTGGATAAATCAATCAAACCCCCTCCAGCTCTGCTTGGTTTCTTTCTGGTGGGGTGGCTGCAAGGTGAGGGGGTTGTCGGGGGGCTGCCCCTTGGCCAGACGGGTCTGGGGGTTCCTGCTAACTCTGAGGGAATGGTGAGGGAGCTTTGTGGCTGGAAAGCAGCAGCAAAGGGAGGGGATGTGTCCTTCCCTGTCCTCTGCAGCGAGGGTGGGGGAGATGGCTGGAGGCATCTTACCAGCGCAGGTGAGAAGGGGAAGGTCTGCTCCTCCTCTGGGCTCTTCACTTGGCTTCCAGGTACGTTGTGCAAACCTCCAGGGTCTCTCCCTGGATCAGGAGCTGCTCCTGTGCCTTTGCCAGCCCAGCCAGGCCAAAATGTGCGCTGATGGCCACGAGATGCAATGACCACAACCACTGAGGGCTATGAGATAGTTCTCAGCCTGTAAAAATAACAAACAGCTCCCTGAGTAGCAGGAGCCCCATTTTCCATGTCTCTGTCCCTTGGGGCTCCTCCGGTGCCTCTCGCTGTGGTTGGATCGCGTTGCAGTGGGATGGATCCCAGCATGGTTGGGTCACGTTGTGGTTTCCCCCCATGGGTCTTTGCAGCTCCCTCGTTTGCAAAACAGGCCCATGACGTATATGAGACCTCTGTCAAATTCAGTTGACACTGGCCAACCTTTCCAAAGTTGTTGGCAGAGGACGGATGGATGGACAGACAGACAGACGCGTGCTATGATCCCATAAGCCTTATTTCCCTGGAACACAAGGCTTGGAAAAGAAATTCAAGCAATCCTGTTTATCATGCTTCTCTTTACTCCAAGAACAGAACAGGCTTTCAGGGAAGGGAAAACCCACCCCACCAGGGTGGCAGAAAGCACCAGCACCTGGCCACAAGCAATTTTAAGGGGAGAAATCCCAGTTTAGGACTGAGACTGAGGGGGGAATCGGTGAGTTCTGAGAGGGAGGAGAGCAGAGATTGGTGTCTTGGAGGCTGCCCAGGGTCATGGGGAGCCTGATGGTGACTTGTCTCCTGTTGGGCTGAGGGCAATGGGGATGCTCTCCAGCCCTGCACATGGTGGAGTAGATTTTGCATGGGCAGGCACTTGAGCTGGGGTCCTCATGCTACAGCAACTGGGGTGTCCATGCAAGGGGAACGTATTTCTTTCCCTACAGCTTCACCAACCATGGCCATGGAGGAGGAAACCAGAGGCCAACCCACATGGGGAGAGGAATAACTGCCTGGTTCAATCTGTCTTCTCCCGCTGTGCCTTCTTTTTGTGGGGGGGAAAAACCACTTGGTGTTGTTCATGTGATTAATAAGCCATCCTTGGAGTCTCTGCCACATCCTGTATACACTTCCAGGCGGAAGAAAACAGTCAGCAAAGCCTGCATGCTGCTGTGCTCCAGATGGGAAACGTCGGCCTGGAAACCACGGGCAAAAGGACTGGCCTGCTCCAGAGTGGGGAGGCTGCAGTGGGGACCTGAAGCTCTTAGACCTTTGCATGCTGAGCTGAGACTAGCCAGGACCAGCAGTGGCCTGGAGGGCGCTGACACGGGGCTGGTTTTTCCAACAGCTTGTTGAAAAGGAGCCGGGAATTTCAGCATTACCTTGCAGGGAAAAAATATGTACACAGCCCTTTGCTTCGTACTAATATTTACCCCCAGATCCCATCACGTCAGGGTGGCTGTGACGATCATGCCGTGACCTGGACCCTGTGGCCATGCCAGTGCTCTGCAAGTGCTGGTGGAAAAGGAGGCAGGGTGGCAGGCTGAGGCTCACAGCCCTCTGGAAAATTGGCCCGGGCACCAGGGTGATGGGCTCACACCCTCTGGCTGCCCTGTGCCCGTGGAGTGCTAAAACAACCTTGTTTCCAAGCGTCCTAGCCTGGAGGGAGGGATCCCTTGCCCAAGGGAGCTGGTGGAGGTCCAGCTCTGAGAAATCACCTTTGTGGGCCCAGTGATGTTTTATGGGCTGGGAGATGGAGGGAGAGAGGAATTTGATAGGGAAGGCATAGCAAGGGATGTGCTCCCAGCCTGTCTCTCATACTCCAGCCCCGGGATAGACCCTGCACCCCACACCACTGGCCACAGGGTCCAGTGCTCCCTGCCCAGTGCCTGCCACAAGCTGGAGGAACGATGGCTCTACCAGCCTGGTGCCAATGTGGGATCAGAGGTGGCACATCTGCACCCTGTGTCCATGTCCTGCTGGCCCCCCATGACAGCAGAGGGGAGAGCCAGGAGGTCACTGTGAGGGACAGGCAGAAATACGACTGCAAGGGAGGATTAAAAAAGAGCACATACAAAAACTGCACTACAGTTATTAATATATCTATTTTAAAACCTATTAAACCCCGTCCCACAGGAGCTGGTAGTGAGAAGTGCTCCTGTGTGTGCTGGGTGGCACAGGGTGAGAAGCCTCAAGAGACAGAGCTTGCAGGCTCCCACCAGCTTGAAGGACATGTCCCTTTTTCCTCTCCTTTATCTGCACCAAGATAAGAGCCAGGAGCTTCAGGCTTCTCTGTGTGACACACACACACACACACCGCATGGCCAGCCTCACCAGTGCGGTGGTTTTGGTGGCTCCTTGCTCAGAGGAGAGAAGAGGGGAAGGGAGAAGAAAAAAAAGGCAGGAAAATATTCTCCCAGCCTGGTGGGGCTGACACTGAGCAGGAGCCAGCCCTTCCTTCCGCGCCCGGCTCCTCTTCATCTGCGCCGGCTGATATGGTTTATCTGAGCAGCGCCGAATGTAAACGCTGTCAGCGCCGGCCGGGATTAATTCCCGGGAGTTTGGCAGCCGAGAGATGAAATAACAGCGCTGCGGGAGGGGGGAGCGGGAGGGGGAGAAGTGCACATCTCAGACTGAAAAATCCTCCCGGTTAATTTACAGCCAGGTTTCTCTTCTCCCAGGCACTCTTGGGAAAAAGAGCAAAGCCGGGGGCAGAGGGAGGGTGGGGGAGAGGAACAGGAGGAGGAGGAGGAGGACTCCTGGAGCGGAAGGCTGGGACCCGAGGGAGGGGGGATGACTGGCAAACCACGCTTGCCCCGCGTGCCCCACGGTGACAGGGACACTGCGGCTGGTGGGGCCCATGGCCCGCAGCCCCCGGCCCAGCCCAACCACCCTCTGGTTTTGCAGGATCCCTCGGGCGCTGGTGGAGGAAGCAGCGCCGAAGGCACCGAGGTGCTCCCGGACACCTGAGCCCCGACAGCCGGCACCATGCAGGGAGAGGAACCCCCTCTGCTCTCCGCTTGCACTGGCCTGGGGGGACACTCCCAGCCCCCCACTGCCCTCTCCTTGGGGAGCAAACCACCAAAAAGCACATTCCCATTGAATATTCCCGTATTCGCACTAAACACCGTGAGATCACCCGAGGACTTTGCTGCTGGGAGGACTCCCAGCCCAAAAAAGGTGGGACATCTACTGCTGTTTATTACAAACCCCTTTTCATTAATTGACAAGTATATTTGCATTAAGGGAAGGCTTTAGAAAACTGCCCCGCAGATGCTGTTTTTTCAAGGCTGATGTTTCAAACAGCTCCTAAAATAAAATAATCATCAGGCTCTGCCACATTGCTTTGGTTTATGTTTATATAGCAGAGGGATTTGGTTTGAGGGTACTTTTCTAAGCAATAGGGTGGTTTTCATTTACTTTCTTTAGGTATTTCAGTAAATAACCACAAATACTTTCACTTATTTTTATTGATTTCTTGGTAGAGGATTGGCTGGACAAAAAGCCCAGCAGTGCATGGGAAGGTAAATTGGTTTATTTTAAACTTAGGAAAGCCCATCTCTCTGCCAAGAGCTGTGCATCACTAACAGCAGATTATGGTTTTACTCAGGATTTAATAATCTATTTTATATCTACCTACATCTCATGGCCTGTGCCTGCCAGAGCACTGAGTGACATCTGCACTGGCTCTGGAGGTGATGAGAGAGTGCAAAAGGCAGGAAGCAGGTCCTGGAAATGGTACTGTCAGCTTTGGGAACCTGATTTAAAAATAATCCTGATGATGATGGCTGGGTAGGGGGTCAGTGAGACAGTGGTTGTCCCCCACTCTGTGAAAACCCACCCATGTCACGGTTCACTTTGGGACCAGAGGCTGGCAGAGGGTTTGGGGTGATGACAGAGAGGGCTGCCTGAAGGGTTGGCGTGTCTGCAGAGGTGTTGTGCCTGCAGGCACTGGGGTGCCTATGGAGAGATGGGACCAGCAGAGAGGTGGGTGCTGGTGATGGTGTGCTGGGGAAGCGCCTGTTTTGGCAGTCCAACCTTGCTCTCCACCAAGCCCCCACCTGCCCTGGGATGCTGCATCGAGAGGTGCTGAAGCATCCTTGGCCCCAGCTCTTCCCCAGCCAAGAGAGACCAGGGCTGATGGAGCTCTGTTTCCCACACCAGACCAGCTGCTGGATACAGCTTGGCTCGGCACTGGTGGCAGGCAGGGAACCTCTGTAAAGCTGAAAGCTGGTAAACACCACACTGCAGCATCTGCTCAGCCAGGCATGGATCCACTGAGCCCAGCACAGGGTCAGGCTCGGCAGAAGGAGCCACTGGGCATGCTGGATAAATAGCAGTGGGCAAGGAACACTGCTTCTCAAAGGTCACCATTTCCTCTGAATTGCTGTGAATTCGCCCACTTCGGTCCGTCCTCCCCTCCACAGCAGCATCCTCTGCCCCAGCCCTGTCCCAGCAGCTCCTGCTGACCCCAGCCCCAGTGCTGGGGGGTGAAGCAGGTCCCCATCAAGTCAAGCTCTTCCCAGCCTTATCATCTGACCGGGCAGAAAATCCCCAAGGCTGGACCATCAAAGGGAGCAGGCAGCTCTCAGCCTCCTGCCCTTTCCTGCTCCACTAAATCACTCTAGAGTCCTCCCAAATGCTTATTCTTTGGGAAAGCAATAAAAGAAGAGGAAACTTCAGAAGACAAACTCCCACCAGCCTGCCTTTGATTACATTTGATATTGTTTTATTCCTTAATGCTTTCCCACTGCAGGCTGGCTGAGGAGGGAGGGAAGGTGGGAGAGCAGGAGGAAACAGTGCTTGAAAGGGGTAAAAATACAAATTTTCCCATTAATATCTGTGTCTGGAGGGGTCTGTGTGCTGAGAGGGGCTCAGTCAGGCTCTGAGGATGACAGTGCCTTTGAGGACAGGTATTGGGGTCCCCCAGCTCCCCAGGCTGTGGACTCGGGGATGAGCAGGAGCATCCCTGTGTCTGCAAAGGTGACCAAGCTCAGGGCAGCTGCAGAGCACCGTACTGGTGGGTGATGGATGCTGGTCCCCACCTCCCAGCCCCTCGATGGCTGGGGCAGAGGAGCAGCAGGGACAGGCAGGGGAGAATGACATGACAAGCTCCATCTGCCACACAGCTGGGTGGCACCGTTGCCGCCAACACTGTGATACCAGTGGGAAAGGCTTGGAGGGGCTTTTCCACGTGCTCTGCCCTCACAGAACCAGACCTGAGTTCCCAGTTTGCATGACAGGAAAAAATTCTCCCGTCTTCGCGTGAAGCACCAAGAACCAGATGGTCCCAGGGTGTCCCGTGTCCCCCGGGGGCTGGGCGGGGGTGACAGCTGTGACACCAGCGGGGATGGGGCAGCAGACACTGGTGGGATGGAGGTGAAAGAGAAGGGAGTGCTGAGCCATGGCAGAGGCTGAGCATACTCTGCTGCTGCTGGAACAGCTTCCAGCCCGCTCGGAGCGCGGCCACGGCCTGGCCTCTGCCGTTCACACCGGGAACGGCAGCACAGCAGGATCCAGCTGCAGCACCCGGCGCTGGCACAGCCTGCCAGGGGCTCTGCTGGCTCCTAGCGGGCCTGGGGGATGGTGGCAGCGGGGACGGGCATTTTGTAACCCTGGGGGAGGTAAGACAGCGTGAGAGTGGGACACGGCGGGGGCCAAACCGGTGGCGAGGGCTGGGGCAACATGCGTCCACTCCACGCAGGTCTTTTCCCCCAGGTTGTGTCCTGAGAGACCAGGGGATGAGGGGATGTGGGGACACAAACCAAACCCATCTGTCTGTGTGTGGGAGCAACTGGGGGGATTTCACACCTGGATGTGGGGCTCGTAAAGAGCCAACAATGAGGAAAAATCCTGGAGAACCTGGACATTCTAGGAAGCAGTTGGAAAAACAAGGAAACTTTGGACTGCAGCCTTGGGATGGCAGTGTGGGGTTTTCACAACACCAGAACTCCAAGGTTGTGAAAACCAGGATCTTTTGTCCCCCTGTGTCACTGGAGCTGATGCCAGGCTCCTGGAGCCCCTCCACAGGCAGGGGCCCACCCAAAAGGCCATTTCCCAGTTACACCCAGATCCAGCACATCCCATAACACTGTTCACCTGTGTCCCCCAGCCGGGGCTGGAGGTGCCTGGCGAGAGGGAAGGTCAAACTCATGGGATGCAGGGCTCCTTTTCCCCAGGGAGCAGCCTCCCGGCTCTGCCAGCTCTCCCAAAGCAGGACAACTGGGCTGTCACATGTCACAGCCCCACGGGCATCCAGGTTTGTATACCAGCATCTTTGGCAGGAAAAACTGCAGCTGCCATGGGAGCAAATGCCTTCCTTCGACATCCCTGCATTATCACAGAATCATGGAATGGTTTGGATTGGAAGGGACTGTAAGGCTCATCTGCTGCTACAGGATACCAAGGCTGAGGGGAGCAGGGCTGAGCTGGCCCCTGAAAATCCTCTTTAAAATCCCCTGAAGCCTTCTCAGCTGTGGTTTCTGGTGAAGCCTGATGTTGCTCAGATCTCCTGCAATGTGCCCCCATACCCAAGGACAGGACCTGCCCTGGCAGCAGCCCCCTGCCTTGAGCCTTGGCTGGGCAGTGAGCAGCAGGACCTTGCCTGGCCCCAGGCTGCTGGGGACAGATCCCACCCTGGGGGGTTTCACGGCATAAGGAGGAGGAAACTCTCTTGCTGAGATGTCCCAGCCCTGGGCCTGGCACATCAATACCGGGGCTCCCACCATCCTGCACAGGATGGTCTCCCAACACCAGGGTGCACAGCACTGTGTCCCCTCCCTGCTTTCCTTTGGAGGCAGGCCAGCCAGAACATTCCTGGCCAGGCTGTGGGTGGTTTGCTCCACAGAGGGAAGGGCTCTGCTGAGCATCTCCCCAGCAGTGACGCAACACCCTGTCGTTGCTCCCTTGGGGTTTTTTCAGCCATTTCTTTTGCTTCCTTATTGCCCAATGCTTGGTAGGGCTGGCACAGGTGGCAGACACCCTCCTCTCTTTCCCTCTGTGGGCTTTGCCTCCTTGGAAAGACACATCCCGCAGGACACCAGCCTTGGAGCAGGATGCAGGCAGGGCCACGGCAGTGATGGTTTTTTGTCAGCCTTTGTTTGTCTCACCCAAAGGTTGTTCTGTCCCTTCCCAAACACAGGGAGAAGTCCATGCCTGGCATCTTGGCACAGGTCCCCACTTGCCACCGCCACCTCACCCTTCCCTCACCCCTGAGTCACGGATGGGGAGCACTCACCCACCCCGTGGCACAGCCCATGTTGGGGTGTCCATGCCCAGACACCCATCCTGGCACCTGCCGGGCTCTCCCTTTCTCCACCCGCTTCAAATCACAACTTCAAAGGAACTGGCAGGAACCAAAAGCTTTCCCCACCCTTTTTTCTGCCAGGAACCGGGAGCAGATTTGCTGAGCCATGGAAGTGGAAGGTGGAGTGGTGCTGGGAGCACAACCTCAATGCCCTACTAGGCATCAGAGATTCCAAGCTGGACCTGAGGACACTTTTAGCACAGTGGGTTTGCGGGTCAGAGAAATATAAAGGAAAATTGCAATTTTGGATAGCGAGGCATAAAATTCCTGGTCGTGGTTGTAAACTCAGTCAGTGCTCACCTGAGACCTGCTGCAACTTGTGAATCAGGAGTTTATTGTGTGGCAAAATCCATGGCATATTGTCCTGAATAGAGAACTCAGCAATACCTTGGAACTGCAAAGGCCTCTCCTCAGCCTCCCCCCCGCATCCTGCTGGCACCCAACCTCCTCCCGGGATGGGAGGAAGCTGAATGTGAGGCTGTTGTGGAAGAAGAGCGACCCAACGCCGATGGTGGTGGTGGAGCAGTGGCAGCCTCTGGGGGGCTCAGCTCTGCCAGCCCCTGGATGAGTCACTGTAAAAGCCGACAGGACTGGCCCTGTGGCCGCTGCCCACTGCCCCAGCCCCGCCTGCGTCACCAGCACCTGGCCTGGCCACCGGGATGTGCCTGGG